CCCCCCCCCCCACCTCACACACCATAGCACCAGAGATCTTTTACTCCCCAAACCATGGCTCTGTACTTCCTACCTTCCTCTATGTGGCCTCTTCTCCCCTTCTAGTTGTGTCAGTCCTCAGGTTGATTTCTTGGGTATTCAGAATGATTTGATAGTTATCTAGTTGTGTTTGATAAGATCAGCCTGGGGTCCTACTATGCTGCCATATTAGCTCTTCTCCTCAACATTTTATTTCTTAATATTTAAGTTAATGTTCTTTCATTGTACCTTTTTTAGTATAGTGTTTATTGTATTAATTTTAATAAGACATTTTATTAAGTGTACTTAGACTTTTGAGTTATAATTTATTGCTTTTCCTGGCCTCATATCTTTTATTTTCGACAAATTCAGTTAGTTTCATATTTAAGTGTGTGTGTGTGTGTGTGTGTGTGTGTGTGTGTGTGTATAGGCAATGAGAAACCATTTATTCATCAAGCATTTATTAGATAGCACGTCTATAGAGCAGTCAGTAGGTGTTGTGAGGGACACATAAGAAGACATATTAGGGTTTTCCCTCAGGGGAGTTAAAGTCTACTTCAGAAGGTAAAGCATATACTGGACAACCAAAGGACTGGTAAAAAGAACTGATAAATAAATGCAAGGTAAACTGCATTGTATGTATTGTGGGGGCGTGGAGTAATTAGAATGATATATATGGTTGCTTTAAGGAAGATTTTTTGGAAATATTTAAATTTTTTATAACAGATTGTTAAAATATGTGATTATTTTTGAGAATGGGAGAATTATGTTATAGGGAGTAAGATGAATAGCCCAGGAGAAACAAAAAATATGAGCCAAAACATGGAGATTAGACTTGATAGATTAAGAGTTAGAGATGATATGTCAAAGCAGAAAAGATGAGACCAGAAAATTGTGTATAAAGAGGGTGATTTGGGTTAGAGGCAGGAAGAAGATTTTATGGGGTAGGGTTTAGAGATCATATAAGGAAGAGCTGATATATGTTCTTGAGCAATTGGTTAGCAGATGTTTACTTCCCAAGACCTATTATATATTGTTGAGTAGCAGGGAACTCAATGAAGTATAGGTTCTGTGGCAGGTAAACCCTCTAGGTGAAATGCATGATGTAGATGGACTGAACAGGAGCCAGTTTTATCAGTGAAGGCAATATGGACTTAGAATGTTAGTAGTAGTGTAACTTTGAAAGTGGGACTTCCAGTAGAGTAATAGACACTAATACAAAAAATATAGCAGGAAAGAATACAGAAAGATCCTCTTAGATACCACATTGTGATAAACCAACTTAAACTTTATGACAGAATTTTTCTAGCTCTGTCACACCATCAATAATAAAAATAATAATCTTTGGGGGTGCCTGGATGGCTCAGTTGGTTAAGTGTCCGACTTTGGCTCACATCATGATCTCATGGTTCATGGGTTCGAACCCCGCATCAGGCTCTGTGCTGACAGCTCAGAGCCTGGAGCCTGCTTCAGATTCTTTGTCTCCCTCTCTCTCTGCCCCTCTCATGCTTGCTCGCTCTCTCTCTCTGAAATAAACAAACATTAAACAAATAATAATCTTATTATTAATCTTATTACTGTGACAGGCTTTTTGCTTGTGATACCATGATGATTAATGTATTAATCTTCAAAACAATCATATATAACATCCATATTATAGATGGATAATTAAGGTCATAGAAGATAAATAACTTTTCTGAATTCACAGAGTTATCTAATCACAGGGTCAGGGTTTGAACCTTGTGCTGTTTATTCTGAAGCCTGTGCTCATAAGCACTTTTGATTTGTTTCTAAAATACAATTGCCCTGTCTGCCTTAAATTCTCAAAAGTGTACATGAGACATGCCCTGTTAAACTCTGAAATCTTTATGTCTATTTTTCAAGTATCAATTATATTTCATGTTGTATTGGTACCTTAACAGATGAGTGTTTAGTGTGTGCTTTACATAGGCAAAATGTATGCTAAACTTGATAATATAAATGGGGCAAAGAAATAAAAAATTGCCATTAAAATAATATAAAAATGGAGTCGGTACAGTTAGCAAAAGTGTATTGTTATAATTTCTCATTAGTCAGGATTTGCATGAAGATGTTGAAGAAACTGGTGCACTGCAGAAAAATCATGCTTCTGTGACATCTGTGAACCCCACAGAAGGGGAACATTCTGCCTATCTGCCTTCGGAAGATGAGTCGTCGAGCACTGTGAGTTGTCAAATGCCCACAGAACAAACTCCAAACAGTGATCTAGAGAGTTCCCTAGAAATAAATGATGTTGAAGCAACAGGGGAAGAAGAAAAGCGTTGTGATGATAAAACTTGTGTGAAGTCAGCTTCAGAAGAAGAAACAAGTGAAAATGTGCTTACAACAGAAGACACCACACTGCAACCAAGGAAAAATAGGATTACTTACTCACAAATTATTAAAGAAGGCAGGAGATTTAATATCGATTTAGTATCAAAGGTAAGTACCAGTTTTCATCATCTTATAATAAAACAATACTAATTTTTAGTTGATTGAAAATAGCATCTGGGACCATATTCCCAATTTTCATGATTTTATTTTCTGAAGTGTAAAACATATATTTTATAAAGAGATAGTATCCAGAAATTAGTAATTCAGTTAAAATATTCTTTAAATATGGTTAAAATGCATTAAAAAATGCTCAGTACTATATCACAATGATACTTTTATACTGGAGCACAGAGTCCACTCTAATATTCTTCTGCATAGACACTATGAATTCTCTCAAGAGAAAAATTCTAACAAACCTAATTAAAAATTCATGTTATTTGTAGTCAGTTTATTAAATGAACTTGTTTTCAGCTCGTCTATATAGTAACTATTTTAACAACTATTAACAACTGTTAACAACTATTTTAACAATGATGATAAACATTCTAAATAAACCAATGCATTTTTGAAAATCATCTATTTAGATATGAGGGCTTTGGAGGATAATTTAATTGTGGGGGACAAGGAGCGTGGGAAGAATGCAATATCTGGTTATGTTTCAATCCTTAACTCTAATGTTAGGCCATTGTGACTTCAGAGGAGGTACCTGAGTCTTTGGAGGGTATAATGTTGTATTGGGTTTATAGGAAGCAAGGTTAATATAAGTGCAAAAAGAATAGAAAACCAGTAAGATAAAGGATAATGGTCTTTAAAAGTTAGATATAGGGCTTGGAGAAAGTAGAAAGAAACAGACCAAATCCCATAAATTGGGAGTAAGCAATAAGAAATTAGAAAGAAATATGGGAGGGTAGTAGGTAACATTAGAGTTGTCTCAGACTAGGTTTTTCAATTTAATGTGCTCTCTTGAAGTTTGAAGTTACAGAATAGAGAGACTAATCAATTGCATGTTCCCCACATTTTGCTGATACAATCCCAGTACTCATATTACTGCTCTTTTTTTTTAACTTTTTTAAAAAATGTTTTTATTTATTTTTGAGAGACAGAAAGAGGCAAAGCAGGAGTGGGGGAGGGGCAAAAAGAGAGGGAGACACAGAATCTGAAGCAGGCTCCAGGCTCTGAGCTGTCAACCCAGAGCCCGACTCAGGGCTTCAATTCATGAACCAAGGGAACATGACCTGAGCCGAAGTCGGACGCTTAACCCACTGAGCCACCCAGGTGCCCCATACTGCTGCTCTATTTGAACCTGATGCCTAAAATTATGAATATATTTTTATTACTCTTTGCTTCTTTCTATCACATAGCTCTCTGTGTCTGATTCTGTCCTGGTCTGAATTGTCCTGGTCTGTCCTGGTCTGAATTCATATTTCTGTACCATCTATTCCACCTTCTCCAGCTACGATGATCCTGCCACACTTTGAAATCTAGAATTTTTTTCCATGTTACCTTGGCATTGATTTCTAAGTAGCAGTTTAATCATATTTTATTAATAGTCTTCCTGTTTTCATGATTAGAAAATAAGTTTTACCAAACCAAAAACAACAAAAACCTGAAGTAGTCATGTAACAAATGGGCTTTGTTCTGAGAATTTCATTTTTAATTAATTACTTAGGATTTGGAATGCCTAACATAAATGATGATACAAGTATTGGTTAAGAACCAATGCTAGTTTATAATAGTCTAACCCTTATGGTAGCTGAAATAGAGTATAAGTATTACAAAGGAAAATGGTAGAAGATGGGGCTGTATCAATTTTTGGAATTAGTGTAGGAAATTATTCACTTGTATAAAAGAAAGTGAATGTTGATTGTAGTAGAGGCAGAGATTATTTGATTAGATGCTGAGACATTTGAGGAGACTTTAAAGGAGATTTCTGGGTATTTTCATGACTCTGAATGGTTCATAGTAGTGGTTCTTTTAGGGTAAATTAAACACTGATGTGTCTAGAGGAATCAAGGCAGTTGTACTTTGCCCTGCATAGTTTCCATGGTATTATATATTTAAAAAATAATAAACTCATTCTACAAAAGTAGAAGTGACTAAAGAATGTTTAACCATCATGGGGAGCCTGGGTGGCTCAGTTGAGTGAGCATCCGACTTCAGCTCAGGTCATCATCTCACAGTTCGTGTGTTTGGGCCCCACGTCGGGCTCTGTGCTGGCAGCTCAGGGCCTGGAGCCTGTTTCGGATTCTGTGTCTCCTTCTCTCTCTGCCCCTCCTCTACTCATGCACTGTCTTCCTCTGTCTCTCAAAACTAAATAGATGTTAAAAAATTAAAAATAAAAAAGAATGTTTAACCATAGCAATATAAGAGGTTTATTATTATTTTTTAATGTTAGTTATTTAATTAACATTTATTGAGTACCTGCTTGTGTGGAAAGCAGTGTATTCCATGATATTGGGACAATCAGTTACTCTTTGGAAATTCTATTCAAATTTCAGTTATTGCATCTAAATTTAGGATTGCCAAACACCTATTTTTATAAATTTATTTATTTTGAGGGAGAGAGAGAGCGAGTGACTGCAAGAGCATGCACAAGCAGGGGAGGGGCAGAGAGAGAGCGGGAGAGAGAATCCTAAGCAGGCTCCATGCTGTCAATGCAGAGTCTGAAATGGGGCTAGACCCCATGAACCACAAAATCATGACCTGAACTGAAATCAAGTGTCCGATACTTAACTGACTGAGCCACCCAGGTGCCCTGCCAAATATCTGTTTCAAGCCCTACTTCTTTCCAGTTTGATGTCTCCAAACTACCCGACATTTCTGCATGTTTCTATCTCAAGGTCATGGTGGTAAAACTGACACGTAACTGTAGTGCTTTACAGTTTACAAAACACACCCACATATATAGCCTTTTAAAAAGTAGTCTTATAAGGGTGCCTGGGTAGTTCAGTAGGTTAAGCATGCGACTTCGGCTCAGCTCATGATCTCACGGTCTGCGAGTTTGAGCCCTGCAACAGCTCAGAGCCTGGAGCCTGCTTTAGATTCTGTGTCTCCTTCTCTCCCTGGCCCGCACTCTGTCTCTCTCAAAAATAAATAAACATTAAAGAAAAAGTTAAAAAGTAGTCTTATAGCTTAGGGGAGGTTATTTAATAAAATACTTTATAGTATTATACGGTTTAGACTAATAGGGAGAAATCAAAGTTGAAGTTCTTACAATTAAAACTCATTTCTAAGAAACTCTGTACCCTTAATAATTATGGAACCACATGCCAAGTGAAGCAAAAAATGATTAATTATTAAATCTCATTCTCCATAGTTTAATCAAATTGAATTATTCTTTTTTATTTATTTTTATTGAAGTATAACATACAATGCTGTATTAGTTTCAGGTGTAGAACATATTGATTGAATAATTCTATACATTTCCTCATTGGTCACCATGGTTACTCACCATCTGTCACCATACCACATTATTATAATATTATTGACTATATTCCCTGTGCTGTACTTCTCATCTCCATGAGTTGTTTATTTTATAACTGGAAGTTTGTACCTCTTAATTCCCTTTATTTCACCCAACTCCACCCACCTCCCTCCCTTCTGGCAACTACCAGTTTGTTCTTTGTAGTTTAGAGTCTGTTTTTTGGTTCTTCATTTGTTGTGTTTTTTAGAGTACACAGGAATGAAATTATATGGTATTTGTCTTTCTCTGACTTATTTCACTTAGTATACTACCCTCTAGGTCCATCCATGCTGTTGCAAATGGCAAGATTTCATTCTTTTATGGCTGAGTAATATTCCATTGTGTATAAGTATATATACATACGTACGTACATACATACATACATGTATATTGTGTATATGTACACCACATCTTTATCAATTCTTCTATTTTTTTAAGTTTTTTTTTAACGTTTATTATCCAGAGAGAGAGAGACACAGAGCATGAGCAGGGGAGGGGCAGAAAGAGGGGGAGACACAGATCTGAAGGAGGCTCCAGGCTCTGAGCTGTCAGCACAGAGCCCGACGCAGGGCTCAAACTCACAAACCGCGAGATAGGACCTGAGCCGAAGTCGGTTGCTCAACCAACTGAGCCACCCAGGCACCCCATATCCATTCTTCAATGGATACTTGGTATTCTTTGACCTCTCATCACTAATTTCTTTTAGATCACTTAAAGAGTGGTGAAAAAGAGGCTTGGGTTTAAATACCATACTTACTTGTTACTACTAATTAAAACGTGTTTTCACTCTTCAGTGTAATCGTAAATGCATTATTTTAAACCCGGCACTAAATCTTAAGCTTCATTGGATCTTATTAAGTGAAAATACATCTTTTGTTTGATGTATTAATATTTGTGAAATATTATGACTACTGAGGGATCATTGAATTTCAGGTATTTGTTTTTAAACAAATTAGGTATTTGAATCACCTGGTTTTTTTTTTATTATAATTACAGAATTAAGACTTGGCAATATATTCCTAAAAACTTGGGCTATATCAGCTGTGTAGGATATTAGGCTGAAGGTAATGAAATAACATGGTGTATTTACTCAGAGTAATTGGATTACTTAAAAAAAAGCAATGTCACTTTTGTTCTGCACAATGCTGGACTAATAGTTTATAAAAATTCACTAAGTGATACTGTTATACATAGTCTTTACTGACCTTTTGGATACTCAAGACTAATGGTTTGGATTAATTTCCAAAATTCCTTTTTTTTTTTTTTTTGTAGTAAAGCTAATTGTCCTCCCCCCCCCATTACAGATGTAACATTTACATTCTTAACATTTATTGAATTATGACACTTAAAGGTATATCAGTGTAGGGCATAGCCAAATCTGTTGCAATTAACCATGTAGTTAAATTTATAACATGCTAGATAATACTGTTGAAGTTTTTTTTGTCTTTCTGATATCAGTTATAAGACATGTGAAAGATTAAATCAATTCTTCACGTGCATGCTGGCAATAACCATCATTCTCACTTCTTGAAAAAGACATACCTCATATGAATCTAGACTACTAGGATTATAGGGGGACCTTATAATTCAGTTCTTTTGGTGGCAATACATAGCCAATCTTTTTCTTTTTGGTCGATGAGGAGGTCCAGGGAGCTGGTTTCTTTTAATTTTTAAAATTTATTATTATTAATAATTTTTGAGAGAGAGGGTGTGAGCAGGGGAGGGGCAGAGAAAGGGGGGACAGAGGATCTGAGCGGGCTCTGTACTAACAGCAGCGAGCCTGATATGGGGCTCCAACTTATGAACCCTAATGCTCAACCAATGGAGCCACCAGGAGGCCTCCTGGTTTCTTTTTAATAACCACCTGGCCTTATGTAAGGATACAGTCCCTTATTTAAAACCCTTGGGCATGGTATGTTCTGTTATTTAGATTAAAAAATTATTTTAGAAAGTAATACAGTACATATGTTGATATGCTATATATGATGTGACATTCTTAGGGTCTGAGGAGGCACTTTATAATTAAACCTATCAATATTTTTGCAGTCAAATATATGAATATTCACAGTAAGTGGGGCAAATAGAGAAGAGCCTTATATCAGTTTGGGTCATTTTGTTGCCAAACTAGTTATGAAAAACATTGTATTCCAGAGTTTTTTGGGTTTTGAATTTCAGATAATCCAGAGTTTTTGGGGATTTTGAATTTTAGATAATCAAACAATTGTAAACCTGTTGTAATTTGTGTTTTGTACTCCAATATTAATAAGTATAATGCTTTTTAACAATATTTTAAAATATAACAAAATTATGTATCTCTATTTAGTGTTTATCAATTTTTCCACAATTTTACCTTTTATTTCATACTGTAAAATATTTTGTTTGTACAGCTGCTGTATTCTCGAGGATTACTAATTGATCTTTTAATCAAATCTAATGTAAGTCGATATGCAGAGTTCAAAAATATTACCAGGATTCTTGCATTTCGAGAAGGAAGAGTGGAACAGGTACTTTGCTGATCAAGTATTGTAACTGGGTATGAGCTTAAGTTATTATGGTTTGTTTTGGAAGGATAAACAAATAAGATTATTATTTTCCTGGCAAAGTAGCAAATTCTAATCCTGCATGGTAAATGTAAATAGTAAGAAATTACTCAATTAAAACTTCTTGTGTTAATTTTTTCATAAGTTATTCTGCAGCCTGATGTTTCTGTTAAGAAAATGTTAATTTCAGGCATTATTGCTAGATTTGAGCTGTCCTTTGTTCCCAGGTAGAGGTGACATGCCATTGGCTTTGTAATGGCATAAGGAGGAACTTGGCAGAACTAAGTAAGAGAGCTCACAAGTTAATTAGCTCTGAGGTCAACAGAGATGTCGGTAGAACTGTTGGAAAGTAACATGAAACAGCCTGACTAGAATGGTAATAATGATCTTGTTATAGTTAAAGGGAAAAAAATGTAATTTGGAATACTTCTATCACTAGGAAGCAGTTTCCTAACTTAAAATCATGTTTTTTAGGTTCCTTGTTCTAGAGCAGATGTCTTTAATAGCAAACAACTTACTATGGTAGAAAAGCGAATGCTAATGAAGTTTCTTACATTTTGTATGGAGTATGAAAAACATCCTGATGAATATAAAGGTATTATTTTCCATTAAATTGTGTTCTCTAATTATTTGAACTTTCTTATTTTAATATGCTTGCTCTGATATAGTGAGCCACTCATTACTCTTTTAAAGTACATTCTTATTCTCCACTATCCAGTTGGTTAGCCATTACCAACATGTAGCTATTTAAATTGAAATTAATTAAAATTAAGTAAAATTTAAAATTCAGTTCCTCAGTTGGACTGGCCATATTTGAAGTGCTCAATAGCCATAGAACATTTTAATCATTGTGGAAATGCTGTGCTGGGTGTTAATTTCTATTCTTGCTAATTAAATACTGCTGTCAACTGGTTCTTCATAGAGGATATTCTCTTTTAATTGTTCCATTATTTTTTTATCAGTTAAGAAATGTGTATTTTTTCATTTTCCCAGGATTACTTTTGCTTGGTATATTGAATTATTCATTTTGACTGATTAAGAAAAAGAGGCTAGATGGTATGGGGAGTGTGAACCATCTCAGTAAAATTTTATAATTTGTTTTTTTTTTTTCTTTTGTCATGGAATTGTGTTTCCTACCATTAACAGTCCAATTAATTACATTTTTTTTTTCTGTTCTTGCTTTAAGTGAGTAGTTTTTAGGGGTCTCATATCTTTTGAGGTATAAGACATTAAAACTGATTCCATTAGCCACACAGAAATTAGCTTCATTACTTTTTAGTCATAGTTCATTGTTCTTAGTTTTAGTAAAAAATACACCTTTCAAAAAATCAAGTACAACTCTCATTGTTTTCACCAAAAAATTGGCCAATATCATTTGTCATATGTATCATTTGTCATATTTAATATTTCAAAGTATAATTATTGACATTATTCTGCAGTTTTAATGATAATAAAGTAACATTGCCAACTGTGGAACCCTATTTTGATGGTTAATGAATGATTGAATGTTTTTCTACTTTTAAATCTGTAAAATACTAAACAAAGATTCGCCATTTAAAGCTTAAATATTGTGTCGTCAATCCAGTCAGGATAGAGAGATTGTTTCTAGCCTGTCCCCCTGCCCTGGGCCTAAAATCTGTGATCTCTGTCCAAAATGTAATATTACCACCTGGGTCCTTTGCCACGTGTCTTAAACAGGCTTGATCTCTTTTGTGCAGTCGTTTTAAATTGAAGTTTTGTTCTGATTTTAACTGATAAATTTTCATCTTTTCATAGCCTATGAGGAGATTACATTTTCTGAGTATTTAAAAACTCAAAAATTAACCCCCAACCTCCAGTACTTTCTCCTGCATTCAATTGCAATGACATCAGAGACAGCCAGCAATACCATAGATGGTCTCAAAGCTACCAAAAACTTTCTTCACTGTCTTGGGCGGTATGGCAACACTCCATTTTTATTTCCTTTATATGGTCAAGGAGAACTTCCTCAGTGTTTCTGCAGGTAAGACTGGCATTGGTTCTCTTGTTTCTTTTTAAGTTAATACTTCAATAACAGATGAAGATTTATTTATTTTTAAAGCATATTTATTTTTGAGAGAGAGTGCAAGCTAGTGAGCACATACCAGCAGGGAGGGACAGAGAGAGAGGGAGAGAGAGAATCCCAAGCAGGCTCTGCATTGTCAGCACAGAGCCTGATGCAGGGCTCTATCTCATGAACCGTGAGGTCATGACGTGAGCCAAAATCAAGAGTCAGACGCTTAACCTACTGTGAGCCACCCAGGCGCCCCACAGATGGAAATTTAAAAACAAAAATGACATTTATTCAAGATTTAGTATATGTAAACATACTTGTTGTTTTATTCTTTTATAAATCCATATATTGGTCTACCTACCTGTCTAAACGATATATTCAGTTTGCCTGTTTTTGAACTTCATAAAATAGAATTCTACTGTAAATTCCTTATTTCACTCAATATTATGTTTCAAAGCATCATTTTTGTTGTGTATAATTATAGTTATTTTCATTGCTATGTAGTATTCCGTTGTGAATATTTCATAATTTATTTTTCTGTTTTTCTTTTGATGGATACAGGATGTTTCCAGTTTTTGTTTTTGCTGTTCTTAACATCCTTGTGTGTGTTTCAGGATATACATGCTCAAGAATTTCTCTAGCACGCATATCTAGGAGTGGAATTCCTAAGTCATGGGATATATGAATGTTCATACAAGATAGTACCCAGCTTTTTCTCCACAGTATTGTATCAATTTACTTCCCCCAGCAGTATATAAGAATTTCCATAGCTTTACATTTTGCCAACATTTGTTATTAGATTTTTAAGTTTTTGTCAATCTAACTCACATAAAATATCTTCTCATTATACCTTTATTTTGCATTTCTCAGATCACTTAATGAGGTGGAACGTCTCCTCATAAGGTTATTGGATATTCATGTTTTCTCTTTGGGGGAAATGCATGTTCATATGTTTTGCCCTTTTGTCTATTTGGTTACTGTGTTTTTCTGATTGATTTGTAGGAGTTTTTATTCTGAATACTAATCTTTTCTTAGTTATATGTGTTGCATGGAGGTCATTGAGATTAATGTAGTCAAACATAATCTTTTTTATACTTAGCACTTTTAGGGTAGTGAAGCATATAGTTTAAAACCTGGACTGTGGAGGGGTGCCTGGGTGGCTCAGTCGGTTGAGTGACCGACCTGGGCTCAGGTCATGATCTCAACGGTTTGTGAGTTGGAGCCCCATGTCGGGCTCTGTGCTGACAGCTCAGAGCCTTGAGCCTGCTTCTGATTCTGTGTGTCTCTCTCTCTGCCCCTCCCCCACTCATGCTCTGTCTCTCTCTGTCTCAGAAATAAATAAACATTTAAAAAAATTTAAAAAAAAAAAAAAAACCTGGGCTGTGGAGACACACTACCTGGATTTAAGTTCTGGCTCCTCCATTTATTAGCCATGTAACTTTGAGCAAGTTTCACATTTTCTCTAGTATGTTTTCAGAGAATCAACTTTTGGGATTTTTGATTCTTTCTGTTATAGCTTTGTGTTCCTAGTACATTAGTTTCCATTCTTTATTATCTCCTTTATTTTGTTTTCTTTGGATTTTGTTCAGCTCATCCCTCCTCTTTTCTGCCTTCCCAGTTCTTAGGCTGAAACCCAATGAGTTAAACATTTTTATTCCTTATTTTCTAATATAAGCATTTAAAGTGATAAAATTCTAACTATTGTTTTGGATCTTCACAGTTATTATGTATTATTTTCATTATTTTTTAGTCCTAAGTACCTTAATTTCTATTATGATTTCTTCATTTACACATAAGTTGTTAAGAGGTTTTAAAATAGCCGATTTGGGGGCGCCTGGGTGGCGCAGTCGGTTAAGCGTCCGACTTCAGCCAGGTCACGATCTCGTGGTCCGTGAGTTCGAGCCCCGCGTCGGGCTCTGGGCTGATGGCTCGGAGCCTGGAGCCTGTTTCCGATTCTGTGTCTCCCTCTCTCTCTGCCCCTCCCCCGTTCATGCTCTGTCTCTCTCTGTCCCAAAAATAAATAAAACGTTAAAAAAAAAAAAAAATAAATTAAAAAAAAAAAATAAAATAGCCGATTTGGTGGATCCTTTTTCTCTAACCATCTAATTTTATTGTAGAAAATTAAGTTGTGTCTGGAAAATATGTTTTTATGGTATTAATACTTTAAACTTTATGATTTAGTATGTCATCAGTTTTTATAATTTTTCCATTTGTGCTCAAGAAGAATGTGTTTAGTTCTAGGGCTCAGGGTTCTCTAATTACTGATCTTAGAGTTTAGTAAGTCAGGCTTTGAGTTGTAATTTTCAAATTTTATTGAGGTTTTTTTTTTCCTTTGGTATACCAGTAATAAAGTGTTTTGAAATCTCCCAATATGATCTGTGATTTGTCAGTTTCTCCCTATAATTCTATCAGCTTTTACCTTATATTTATTTTGAGGCAATTTATTAAAATCATATAAATTTACAACTTTAATCTTCCTGATGAATTTATTTATTTATTTATTTATTTTAAATTTTACTTTATTTTATTTTTTTTAATATATGAAATTTATTCTCATATTGGTTTCCATGCAACACCCAGTGCTCATCCCGAAAGGTGCCCTCCTCAATACCCA